CAGAACTGGCGGTCAGTTTCAGCAGCAGCTGAATCTGGACGCCAGTTCCGACTTACATACAGATTCAACTTAAGAACAAACCTACAGTCCCTATCTTGTACGTAACCCGGGGACTGCCTGTACTGGTTTTTCACTCTTGATGTGAAGGAAACAATGTTCATTGATTCAGGCACTGAATTGCTTCATGTTCTAGTTCAACATATAATCCTTCAAAGAAAAAAAATAGAAGCAACTGACTGTTGAGAGGAATTATCACAGGTTACAATCTATGAGTTCTTTGAGCAAAACTAATTTATATTTTCCTGCATGCAATTAGAGAACTGAAAGATTAGCTCAGTCAGTTTCTGGTCTCTACAACAGTGTGGAGTTCAGCTTTAACAAAAGCAGCATTATTTATAGAAGTGAATGAAATTGTCTCCAGACTCCAGCATGCTACTCAATTGTGGTGTGTGTGTGTGTATGTAGTTTTTATTTCTTTCTCTGAAACCCATTGAAATCTCTGCTTCCATAAGCAGCTTTCTGATTGACACTGCTATTTCTGCTTGAGATAACACACATTCTTTGTGTAGGCTCAGAAACGGAATGATTATTTTATGGTATTTCTGCTGTATTCTAGTACAGCAGCCCTTTTAGTAAAGCTAGAGTGAAGAATCAATGGTTTGTCAACATCTCTGTTCTAATGCCTATCCTTAAACATCTAAACTATTATCAAAATGTGATGTAAATTAACTCAGGTACGCTTTGTGTGCGCATGCGACTGATTATTTTTTCAGCCACACCAGTTGTACCTGGTACAGGTTATTTACGATGAGTGCAATGTTTGATGTAGGCATTTTTGTGAGCATTCTCCAAATGTTGGCCTCAAATACTTGTTTAAAGTAGAATATGGCTCTGTTCTAAAAATTCTCCATTTTGTGCACAGATTCCCTGTGTTTTCCATCAGTTCTTAGAAAGATGGTCTCCAGCATGTTGCTTGATGTTTGCAGCAGCTGACTGGGAAATCTCAGCATGTTTGTTAGATATCTTAAATATATTCTATTCCTTTCTTCCCAAGACTACTCTGGACTTGCGATGGTTTACAGAGAAGGTTCCCCTGAATCTTCTGTTGCTCTGTGTGTGTGTGTGTGTGTGTGTGTGTGTGTGTGTGTGTGTGTGTGTGTGTGTGTGTGTGCAGTTACTAGACCCCTGCCCTTCTGTCACATAAGCACATTGTCTTTTGCAGGTTTCATGGCATCTGCTGGCTGACATATTCTGAGATATTTCTAAAATGTCACATGAATCATTTTGTCTGCTTCCTTATTGTTTTGCATGTGCCATTTTGTTGGACATGTTGGCATTTAAACTTTCTCAATTTATACAAGTAAGCCATAAAGAAAACAGATATAGTGCTAACAAGGAAAGTGGATTGCATATCTCTATAGCTTCCATATTTTTCCTGATAGTCTAATGCTTGCCAATCTGATCTTTCCCTTCTCTATTCATGATTTTATATCAGAAAAGGGGAAAAGAGAGTCTGATTCTTCAGTACTTAACTGTATAATGAAAAAGTTTACAAAATGCAGACAAATCCATAAAAGACCCTGCCCTGTGTGTAAGACAAAGATTCCACTATCAGTTAAGTAACTTTTGTTTTAGAGCAAATAGTGCTCTTCTAAGCAAGTCACAATGGGTGTGTCTACACAGCAAAGTTATTTTGGAATAACAGCTATTATTCCGAAATAACTATGTGAGCGTCTACACAGCAATTCTGTTATTTTGAAATAATTTCAAAAGAACGGATGGCTTATTCCAACTTCTGTAAACCTCATTCTATAAAGATTAACGCCTATTCCGAAACAGCTATTTCGAAATAAGGTGTGTGTAGATGCTCCACTACTGCTATTTTGAATTAGCCCCTCACCAGGGCCATTCTAAATTATTCCTCCTGGGGCTCTAAATCAAGATAGCACATCTACATTAAGGAAGCCTGCCTCGGACTAATTTTGAAGCTTCCTTGCAGTGTAGATGTGCTATTTCAAAGTAAGCTATTTCAGAATAACTATTCTGGAATAGCTTATTCTGAAATAACTGTGCAGTGTAGACGCAGCCTCTGACAGTCAGGGTTACATTCTGCACACAGCATTGCATTTAAACCTTTGCAGACGTTTCATCTATTTGTCTGTGGAGGTGAATTGTGCCCCTTCCTCCCTGGGCACCAAAGGTCTGGGAGCCAGTAGAGTTTGTGCAAGGCTCTTGCTCTGGAAAATTTAAGAGGGCTTGTAAGAAGAATTTGTCAACTTTCAATACCTGGCTTTATTTGTAAAACAGACCATTTAAGTGTCCTTTGGTTCTCTGTGCAGCTCTTCAAATTTATCCATGACTTCTTTTGGATTTTAGCATCAAATGCAATAGACATATCCTCAATAAACTCTGTTGCTAACAAGAAAAAAAAGTCTGGTAACATTTAGAAAAGCTTCTTGTTTCCATTTCTGTCTCTCTTCATCCCCTTCTCCCACCTGCATCTGCTCTGAATTTCCAGAGTTTACACTGGGCTAGATAATTTTTAAAATTTCCTTCACATTGAAGAGACCACAAATACTTTAGTCTGCCATAGCCACTGATTAAATTACAAATTAACTGTTGCTGGTGTAAGGTAATAAATATGTCCCTGTTTAACTGTACAGTACTCTGTCCTTCCAAACCCAGCTTCAGATCAGTTCTTGCAAGAGGGCATGAAGTTGGCCAAATAATGCTGAGGAATTTTATACAAAAAATGAATGCCTGTAAAGGGATAGTACCTCTTGAATTTGTGATATGCTAGATGACTAGATGTAGATAGCTACATGACTTCATTTTCTAATGGCCTCATTTTAATATTCCCTTAGTTTCAATAAGTGTTAAAATGTTCAGGAGCTTCAGTGGGTAGCCGAGTTAGTCTGTTACAGAAAAAATCAACAAATGGTTCTGGTAGCACTTTATAGACTAACAAAACATGTAGATGGGATCATGAGCTTTCGTGGGCACAGCCCACTTCTTCAGATGACTGGAGTTATGAGTTTGGGATGTGAACACTCAAAATAAATAGGAGAGGGGAAGAGGGGGGTGGGAAACAGGGCATCAGTAAGTATCTGGAGAATGGGTACTTAAACCTAAGCAGATAAAAATCAAAGTCAATAGATAGATTCCTATGTCAGGAAGGATACTACTCAGAGAGCTGTTAGCACCTTCAATGGTTGCTAAATTGGTAATATCCTAACCAACTTTCATCACAATTGAGTCCATTAGCACGTGAATTGAATTTGCGGATGAACTATAATTCCAAGGCTTCCCAGTGGATCTGGCTTGTAGAGCTGGCTTGTGACAAGACAGCTACTTGGAGATCTGTCATGATACAATTTGGAAGGTTGAAATGTTCACCAATCGGTTTCTGTATGTTTCCTTTACATATACCTGATTTGTGTCCATTGATTCTTTCCCCCAGAGACTGTCCAGTTTGTCCAATATATATATAGCAGTGGGGCACTGCTGGCATTTGATGGCATAGATCAAATTACTGGATGTGCAGTCAAATGACCTTTTGATTTTGTGGCTTATGTTGTTTGCTCCCGTGTGAATTCACCAGTATAGATATGTGGGCAGAGTTGGCATCTCTTTTGGTTGCATGGCTGTGTTCCTGGAGGCTTATGATGTGGTTATGTGGTATGGTTAACAGAAAGAATACATTTTAGGTTACCAATTTAACAACCATTGAAGGAGCTAACAGCTCTCTGAGTAGTATCCTTCCTGACATGGGAATCTATTTATTGACTTTGATTTTTATCTGCTTAGGTTTAAGTACCCATTCTCCAGATACTTACTGAATGCTCTGTCTCCCACCTCCTCCCTTATTCTTCCCTTCCCCTCTTCTATTTATTTAGATCAGGCCTTAGTTTGTAAAAGCATTTTAGGATCTTTTCAGATGAAAATCATCATCACAATCATGTAAGTATGTAAGAACCACATTCTGCTATTCTACCCATTGACTTCTCTTGGGTTTGAAAACAGGACAAAAATTCACGATAGGCCTCAATGAGACTTAAGCTAGCCAGAACGGTGTGTGTTGTCTAGTTTCAGATTTTTTTAGGACTATATTAATGTTTGCTCACCAGATAGAGGGGCTCTGAATTTTAAATGGATTATGAATGCAATTATATAAACCAAACGTATGCTCCATTGCATGTCCATTTGGCAAGGACTATTAATACATGCACATATAAGCTATCCATGCATTGAAATTAGCCATTTCCATATAGCCTCAGGAACTGCACACATAAATTAGGCACATAATAATTATATGCCCATTTTGCACATCCACTTGTATGCCTTATGGGTTCTGAAATAAGGCCCAGAATATTTGGTAAACAGCTTATTGAAGCTGAACTGTCACGGGGCACTGTTTACACAAATGTATTTAGATTTATAACATCAGAACTTATTCCTATCTCAGACTGTATGTGCTGATGACATAATTAAAATCAATTAAATTAAAAAAATTCTTCACTGTTGTGAAATTTCCAAATAAGTGGAAACAGAGAGTTACACCGAGAGCCAGAGCACAGTTTGGAAAGAAATAACTAATGATTTCAGATTCTAAAAGGATTATTGAGAATGAAATATATAGACACAGATGCCAAGTAAGTAGAGTATTTTGAAAAGATAAAGGAAAAAAAATCATATAATTATAGAACCTCTACTGGAAGGTCTTATCTTTGATTAAGAACATGCAATTAGAAGATCCAGTTAATGGCAATGGAGAATGCATCTTGTTGTACATCTTGAAGTTTATTCAACATACAGCAGGATCATAACACAGCTGTGAGAGCCTGACAAAAAGTAAGTCTATATTTTTGTATAGTTTACTCTCTAAATATCTTGATATGAATGCATATCTCCACTGAGGCCAGAGATGACTGATATTAATTACTTTATTATGATAATGCCCCAAAGTCCCACTTAGGATTGTGACGGGGGAACTTACCCCTGCACTCTCAGCCACGGGGACCGCGGCCCCGTGCCTCGCGGGGAAGGTCAGCGGGGGACAGGAACCCAGCCCTGCGCGCCGGAGCCGGCGGGGAAAGGGGAACCCTGCGTGACCGGCGCGCAGGCGCAGGACGGCACGGCCGGAACCCGGCCAGCACTAGGACCCAGGAGTGCAGGGCTGACGCTCGGAAGGGTGGGGGCCGGCCAGATGCCGAGCGGGGAATTCAAAAGGGGGGAGGAAGGAACAGCAGGGGAGGCTTGGGGGAGAGCAGGGAGGATTCTGCTCTCAGCCTCCTCCGCAGGACCCGAGCAGGACCCCACCGGGAGCGGCGTGGAGCCCAGCAGCAGGAGCCGACTGCGCAGCGGGGACGCCCGGAGCGGAGAGGCACCGGACGGAGCCAAGCCCCACCAGGGAAGGAACGGCCGGGGAGCGGACCGGAGAGGATCCAGCACCGGAGCCGAGGCAGAGGCAGTGAGGCTGTCGGCCCCGGGAGGACCGACAGGGGGGGCCCGCGTCCAGGGGGACGACAGGATAGAGACCGGGATCGGGAGGTGCCAGGCACACGAAGGCGGGGACCCTCGGACTCGGGGAGGGGCGTGCCCGGTGGCCCCCGAAGAGAGACTCGGTTACACTGGTGGAGAATGTGGGCACTGCCCCAAGGGGAAAAGGGGGTGTAGGAGTAGTATAGTGGGGGTGCGTTAAAAAAAAAAATATATATATATAAAAAGAAAAAAAAAAGGGGGGGAGACAGGGGTGCACCGTAGCGGATAGGGGTGCACCGTATGTATGGGGGACCATTATGACTCTGTTCCTGCAGGTGACTTTGGACAAGTCACTTCCCATCTTTGTGCTTTGATTTCCGCACCTGTAACATGGGGATAATCATAGAATTGTAGGACTGGAAGGGACATTGAGAGGTCAGCAAGTCCAGTTCATCTGTACTCATGGCAGGACTGAGCACCATCTAGATCATGGGTTCCCAAACTGGGGGGACATGAAGAAATTCCAGAGGGGGCCCTCATCAACTTTTTCTGCCTCAGTCAGTTCATTTTTTTTTGCTCAACACGTTTTGCTGCTATTTTTGGAGGGGTGGGAGGCGTGAGGGTTTTTCAAAAATCAAAAAGGGGGCGTGATGAAGAAAAGTTTGGGAACCACTGATCTAGATCATCCCTGACAGGTATCTGTCTAACCTACTCCTAAAAAATCTCCAATGATGGAGATTCCACAACCTCCCTAGCCAATTTATTCCAATGTTTAATTACCCTGACAGGAAGTTTTTCCTGATGTCCAATCTAAACCTTCTTGCCCTGTCCACAGAGGTTAAGAAGACTAATTCTTCTCCTTCCACCTTGTAACAACCTTCCCCATTCAGTCTTCTCTTTTTTCTAAACTAAACAAATCCATTTCTTTCAATCTTTCCTCATAGGTCAGGATACAGTACTCCTGTTGAGGCCTAATCAGTGCAGCATAGAGTGAATTATTACTTACGTACAATGTTCCTGCTAATATATTCCAGAATGATGGTGATTATTACTTATCACCTTATTGATTTCTAGATGTTTGCAACCGTTCCTTAGTTATTTCCTCCATTATCTTTCCTGGTAGAGAAGTTATGCTGACTGATCTGTAATTCACTGGGTTGTCCTTATTTCCCTTTTTTTATATGGGTACTTCTGGAATCTCTTCCATTTCCCATGATTTTTCAAAGGTAATTGCTAATGGCTCAGATATCTTTTCAGTCAGCTCCTGAGTATTCTAGGATGCCTTTCATCAGTACTTGGTGACTTGAAGGCATTTAGCTTTTCTAAGTAATTTTTAACGCATTCTTTCCTTATTTTAGTTTCTGAACATGCCCCATTTTCACTGATGATACTGACTTCCTCTATAAAGTGCTCTGAGAGCTACTTATGAAAAGTACAATATGAGAGCAAGGTGGTAGCATTTGTATTGGGCTGGGCACTACACGAGTACATTAATAAAAGAAAGACACTGCCATCAAGAGCTCATAGTCTAAGACAAGTAACAAGTAGCTGTGGTAGGCAATTGGGAAGGGGAGGAGGTTAATGGCCATAAGTCTAGCTGTGTTCACAGGTAGGTGGCTTTGAGTTAATTACACATTTTGTGACTAATTTTTAAAATTAATTTTCATAAAGAAACAGACAATAAAAATGTAAAAGATAAATGAGACACAGCTTGCATACCTATCCACATGCTGCACATTCCATTGGACAGCCAATAAAATCATGCCATTACCCAACTTTACAACATATCAATCTGTAAGCTGAGGCAATAATGTTTAGGTGGGGTATCAATAATAATAAAAATATGTATACAAATAGGCAAAAAAAGGAAGGTATGGGGCATTAAAGGGGGTAAGCCGAGAGTCAGGTAGAAGGGGGAAGTTTGGCATTTCGGGGCTATCAGAACGTTCTTTATCCAAATATTTCAATAAACCTGGTTCACTTCAGTTAAAATTCAGATAATTGCTCTCTCTGCCAGTAAGCTATTTTTAGTTTTGCTACTAACTCAGACAGGTCTAAATATCATGGGTCTGTCCTGAACATAAACCTACTTCTACATTTTTGTAACGTTGTACACTCAGTAATCAACCACTCTCTTACTTCAGCAGCAGGGAGGGTTTCAGATATACAAGTTAAGAGAATACAGTGGGGCTGTCGCAGTATAAGTTACTACATAAGTTACTGGGTAAGGAGAAGCATACACATCTATGGCCATGCAGTATAATGTCTGGAAGGATCCCAGACAAATCTTCACATTGTTAAGTATTTTAAAATGCAATAGCGTCACAGTTAGTATTTGCTTCCTTCAGGGGAGTCTCATACTAATGACTGAATACAGCTGTTATACTTGTGATTACCATAAGAAGTGGGGCCTAAACATGTCTTGCATCTCTGACAGCCAAATTAATAATAATAAATAATAATATAAAAAGCAGTCACATAAATAAGCCTCTCTTCAGCTAGAAAGCAGAGCTGTCAGAAACAGTTGAATGGCCGAACCTTCATTGGCATTTTGAAGGGAAGCTGGAAGCGGCCTTTCTTTTCTTTCACTCAGATCTTATAAAGAACAGTTCTTCCCACCTGGCAGCTGGATTTACCTTAAGGAAAACTTTGGATGCTGAGTCATCTGAGTGACTGTTCTCCCTCCTTCTTTTAAATCTGAGTGGCTTGTTTGGTTTGGTTTCCAAATACTGTAAATGGGATTCTTCTCCTGCTACTTCCCCCTGTGTAGTAGGAAACTAAGGGGAAATACATTTCTGGGTAAGAAGTTGGATGGAGGCAGAGTGGTACATCTAGGGCTCATAGGCTGTAGACTGCAGACCATTTCTTCTTTTAGTTGACTTATTAAGGCCTGTTGGTTTGGGACAAGAAGGACTGGAATTAGAATGCTCTCCCTATCATTGCCACAAAGTTCAGAGCAGCCATAATGTGCCTCCTAATGACAGTAGTGCAGTCACAGATGGCTGTGGCGACGTTACACTTGCGCTACACTGAATATGAATATCCTTTCTTTTTTTTTTTATTTTTATGGGGCACGTACCTTGTGACAACTTGGTTCTAAAACCTTCTTTGCCAACATGATTTCCTGCCTGTTGAAGATGTTCTATTTATGGGTCTTTCTTATGGTTGTTATGGCAACCAGTTGCCAGTTACTGGCATCCTTTACAGGCCTGTGTAATGAGCAGTAGGTTTAAGTGCTGCACCTGCTGACTCTTAGCATTGCTGATAGCTTCAAGAGGTCAAAAATCCATAAGAATGGCAGAGCCAAACACTTGAACATGGTGGTTCAATGCAGCATCACATCTTAGAGTAAGGTTCCATCTGAAAACTTGGTATTTATTATACTGAAGCGGGATTCATTCATTGTTAGTTTTGAGAAGGGTGAAATTAATTTTAGACACATGCACTCCTGAGGTCTTTCTGTCTTTTTATTTCTGGGCTGTGATAGCTCCTTACTCTCCTCCAGGCCCTATGCTCTTCCAATTGATTTCCCTTTGCTTCTGCAGCCTGGTGCTTTGCCTGTTTTTGTGCCTCCCTCTAGTAACTGGAAGAGCCTTTTTCATTCTGTAGTCTATACAACTTCTTTCTCCATTTGCTAATCTCATTCTCAGGACACCTTCCATCACCCACCTCCACTCCAGTGCTTAACCTAATGTGATTTGGGGGTCTGTAGGAGACACCAACTAATGTTCATCTTGTGCTTTATGCATTAGGACAATGATCCATAAGCATTTAAAATTTTCTTATCAGTGACTCAGCTGCTTGAGGTTGAGCCTGAGCGCTCTGAATCTAAAACCATGATTCCCACACAGCCTAAGCCAAAGAACCACCTCTATTAGCAAGATGGCATTATATGAGCCTTAAATCCTTTTGTCCGAACCACTAAGGCAGAGATGGGGAAGCTTTTTTGGGTCGGAGGCCACTGACACACAGAAAAATCATTCGAAGGCCTCACACAAGTGAGAAGTGGACCCACCCCCTCATTGTAGCTCCTGACTCCACATTCTCCTTGCACACCAGAGCCTAGGGGCGGCCCAGCCTAGTAAATTTTGTGTAAATTTTCAGTCCCCAGGGAGATAGCAGGGGGTGAGGAGCACCAGCACAGTCTCCCCAATGCTGGGGGTGGGCCCTGAGTCTTGGGGGCTGGATCCAGGCATGCTGAGGGCCGCATCCAGCCCCCTTATCCTGAGGTTCTCCATCCCTTCACTAGGGGGATACAAAGACCATTACTCCCAAGAACCTCAAGGGAATCAGGAGAACTCCAAGCAGAACTGGAGGCAAATGGCAGAAAAATACATTGGTTCTGGCAGTCAATGGCAAGAAAGTTGTGGTTTCTTTTTCAATCTCCCATGGGTGCTTTGAGGAATCTCAGTGGCATCTGTGAGGTTCCAGGGTGAGACAGTTGGAGTTGGATGTCAGGGAGAGCAGAGATGGATTTGAGAGTATTGATCCAAACTATGAAGTTTTTGAGGCTTTCATACCACTGTCTGGCATGTAGGAACACCACACAGGAATTGCAGCAGTTCACATTATGCTTTTTGTGGAAGGCTTCAAGGAACAGAAAAACTGTGCTGTGCCTGCCCTTCCCTTTGGGGGGAATCTCCTCTTTCTATTTTAATTTTGGTCATGTGCTTATTATAGCTATTTTCCAATTAGTTTCTCTTACTAATAGTTGCCATATTACATCCAGTCAAAGAGTAGTAGCAGTCCTAGGTTTTAATACTGAGCAACTACACAGTGGGGCACTGTCATTTTTCTTGCACAAATGATTATGAGAAAGGAAGGTTTTAGTGCTGTAATAATGAGCCTGGAGGGAGAGAGAAGAGAGCCAGTCCCTCAGAGGACCGCAGCAGGTCATGTTAGAGTCTCCTAGTATTTTCTTTTTCTGTCTGTGTGATTCTAATGTACTTTCTAAGAGCAGTAATATGTCCTCCGCCTTCACCTCCTGGCACCCCGTGAGTCTTTATTTTATTCTCAATCACAGGGGTGGGCAATAATTTCACTGGTCTACAATTTTTTAGAAGTCGTCTGCTTCAGAGATAAAATGTGCTCTTTATTATGTATTTTGATGTGCTGAATTCAAATATGACAATTAAAACAACTGATTGGCTACTGTTTCCAATATATTTAAGTTTTTACATTTTACGTCTATGTATATTGTATAGATAGTAGAGTTTTAATCATAAATTGTAAACCTAGGTCTTTTCATGTGTTTATGGTTGCTTTCCATGATGATATTTCACCTGTCCTGTTTATGTAACACTTTAAAATCAGCAAAAGGGTTATATAAATAAAATTTATTATTAAACAAAAGGCAAACAACTATTATGTACATAGTTTAGTCCTATTCAGTGTCTACTTGTCGCTTCTTGGCTTGTCTTTTGTATTCATTAAACGGAGCATCTTGTCACTGTCCAGCAATTGTCTGCAAGCATTGATGGGCTCCATTTGCCCTGATAGTGTTTCTCCATTGTTGCAATGTCCTGGTGAAATCGCTTGCTGTGCTCGTCACTCACTGCTCCGCTGTTCGGTGGAAAAAAATCTAGATGAGAGTGCAAAAAATGTATCTTTAGTGACATGTTGCAACCAAGGCTTTTGTATGCCTTGAAGAGGTTTTCCACCAACAACCTGTAGTTGTCTGCCTTGTTGTTTCAGAGAAAATGTATTGCCACTAACTGGAAGGCTTTCCATGCCGTCTTTTCCTTGCCACGCAGTGCATGTGTAAGCGGGGGAATGATCCCGCTATTGTGGGGAACTTTCCTGGCTTCTATACACCCTGGTGAAATGAACCAGCGAAAGGATCTGAGTCCCCGCTCCCACTTCCTTTACCCCACGGCTCCCTGATCCTGAGGGCTCCCCCTCCACTCTCCTGAGTAGCAGAGCCCTTGAAACCCCAACAAGGCTGGGCCCAGGTTTCCTGGGGCTTAATCCCTGACCTTGTAGTCACTAGGGGCAGGAGTTAGGGTGTCCCCACTCCGAGGTGCTCTCTTTACACTGCAGGCCTTCTTGGCCCAGTGACCACTTCATAAGGTTCAAAGCAAATACAATTTATTAAACAACAACTGATTAAAAAGAAAAGAATAAGAAAAAATGAGAATGGTTAAATGAGAACACACAGTCCTGCTCTGTAGCATGGGGACATCAAAACAGCAGTCTGCAGAG